GGCTGCAGTGCCTTTGGCTCCATTAATGCCAGGACTAGTAGTGAAATAGCAAAGGAGCTGGAGGAACAGTTTTACACCCTGGTTCCTTTCGGTAGGAATGAGCTCCTGTCTCCTCTGAAAGACACCGATGAGGTAAAGTCGCTGTGGGTCAACATTGACTTGGCTCTTTTGTCCAGGATTCCAGAGCATTTGCCTGAAGAGCCACTGGCCATGAGCGCCGGAGCAAACCCAAACCAGGCGGCCAGCCTCCCGCAGGGTAGTAGTGCTGACCCCCCCGCAGAGAAGGGCTTACCGAAATCTAGAAGGAAACGCAAGGTGAGCTTTGGGGTGACCGATTGGGGTGGGTAGGGGGGCCTTCAGCAAGCATCGCTTGTGCCCGTGTCCAGTGCTCAATGGTGGTGTCTTCTCCGGGCTGGCACTTCAGAGCTGGGATTTGTCCCTGCTCACCGCTTAGGAAACAGCCAAGCCCCAGGGGAGATGCCATGCCAGCAGGTGATGAAGCTCCTGGCACAAGGGATCACAGCCCCTTGGAGATGGCATTCACTGCTGGCGTGCGGTTTTCCACAGCTTAGCGAAGCCACTGCGTTTTTACTAGGATAGTTTTCTCTCCTGAGGCTTCTCGCAAAACTGGAGCATTTGGAGGCGATGCTTAGGTTGGCAAAGGGAATATAAACATCTGTCTTGTCATGGTCTGCACGGTATCACTGCATATGTGGAAAAAGGAGAGACAGCATCCTTTTTCCCCTCAGACTGTCAACAAGAGGCAAGCCCTTCAGTCCCATCAGGGAACCCCAGCTTTGTTAGGGATATGCTCACAGAGACCTGGGACCTGCCTGGCTCTGCAGCCTGCCTCCCACACACCACTGCGTCCCCCTTTTAAAACCTCAGGGCTCTCACACAACTCTAACAAGCGGGAGTGTAGTCCATTAGCTACCCACTCCCTAGCAGCACCATCACAGCAGCTGGGTGGGCACAGCCCTCTGGTCACATCCACCCTTCTGCCCTGCCTTGCCCACATGTTTTCCGAGCTGCTGGTAGTAAAAAGAGAGAAAGCTCCCTCCACCACTTGGCCACAGCTGTCCACCGAGGAGGCTTTCTGGTCTGTTTGTACTGATCTGACCGCAAAAGTCACTCTGAACTGGAATCGCCATCTGCCCAATTTCTAGACAGTTTTACTGTGCAGTCTTTTGTTGCCCTCTGAGCTACTGTATGTGTGCAGATTGATTGTATATTTTTGGCAACCATTTATCTAAAGCAGTCTTTCCTTTTTTTAGCTTTTTTATTTGGGGGCTAGGGGGTTTGGGAGCAGTTTAGTATCTGAAAGGTGGCAACCCTGTTCTGGCCACTGGTAGAGCCATAACAGAGAGCCCTGATAAGCTTAGAGATGCATTTGTCTGCATTTTCTTTAGGAAGTAGCATGGAAGTAATTGCACAGTACAAAGTGATGGGAAACAGGTCAGGAAAGTGGCAGAAGGAGATGCCAGCGTCATAGTGCCAGACTGTACACCCAGAAAGAAAGAGGAGGACATGATAGAAGAGCAAAATAAATGCAGTCATTCTAGAATTGCTTAATCTGACTTTCTGTGGCACATATTGTCTTTTACTCTTCTGTTTTAAAGCACTGCTGCTGTTGGTGGTTTTAGTGATATAATAAATACAAAGCTTTCCTGGAGTACCAAATTGCCCCTCAGCCTGTAATAACACCCTCAATGGGACGGCTGCTATGCAAACTCAAAATATGTGATCCCCCTTCCCAAAAGACTTTATGAATAAGACTAAAAAGAATGGATTATCAGGCATAATTTCACAATAAGAAAGAGGTCCTTATCACTTCAACCTCTGTCATGATTTCAAGAAGATGGGCAAAGCAGAGACGAAGGGGGATGGTTAAGCACTGAGGTGTGAGAAGATCTTCACTCTTATGGAGTATAAGCTACAACCTTAACCCCATAGCAGCAGCCACAGAGGCAGTGAATAACACAGAAAATGTTGTTGCCATGCAGCAAGGCAATAAACACAGCATAGTCAACAGATCATAAGTAAAACTTGTCCAGTACTAGAAATTGAAGAAGTGTTAGAAGTGGAAAAGGATGTGGATTTTGTGGGAAACTGGGAAAGCAGAGCCTTTGGGAGCCAGTGATAGAACCTAAGTAACATACCATGAAATAAATAGTGGCAGGAAACATCATCTGTGTTCATACTAGTAGGCCACATAGGGCCAGGGTGCAGTCCCAGTGGTGGTGCACAGTCACCCGCTTTATTTAGCTGTTAACACGCTTGCTAACATGGTTTTGGCCTGGGTCAACTTCTGTTCTCCGACACGGTGTCTAGTCCTTGCTCAGGACCAGAGTTCCTTCCCAAAAGGCAATCTGAATGTGGCATACCCTGGCTTGAAGGAGGAGCAGGATGAGTGCATGTGCCGTACCACCTGGCCTCAGGACCAGTTGCTGTTCTGTTTTATTGACTAGGATAGGCATAGTCACTGATAACCAAGAAAAAGAGAGGGAGAGACAAAAGAGGTATGAGGTTGAGGACGAGGCAGGAGAAGAGTGCACAGGAGATGGGCAAAGAGGGTAATGTGAAGAAAAAATATCCCAAGGGACAAGAGGGGAAGTGGTTGAAACAGTTCAGGTTTTATATTCTACTCCTTTGTTTACACAGTGCCCCTTTAGATTTTGTTTTTTAAAGCCATGGACCAATCGTCTCTGATCCATGTTAGGTATATGTTCAAAGAAAGTGTCATCATTAATACCGAAATGTCAGACTTGCTGAAATACTTTGGGATCTGTAGTAAATCCAAAACCTACAAGATTATTACTTGTCTCTTCATTCAGTGTGAGAATGAGGAAGAGTGCAGAGACATCAAGAAGACTCACTCAGAGCGAGAGAGTTCTTCACGATTAGCTGCCTCTGCCCTCAGCACCACAACAGCAAATCACTGCAATATGAATGAAAATAGGTAAGCATTTTCCTTCTTACTTACCGCTGAGTCATACAACTAGTTACAGTTTAATGCTGTGTGTTATTTTTTCCTTTAATAGGATTTATTTTTAATTATCACATTTTATGTTGACAAATTACCCACTGCATTCCTCTTTCTTATGGTTTAATGAACAAGCTAGCAGCTCCTGACACATTTATATACTTGAATTTTTTCCTATTGCGCAAAGAAGTTGTGAGTTCAAGTGTGAGGCTCATTGAATGAGTAATTATAGCTAGAGCAGTGCAATCGTCCAAGACATATTCCCAAACACTGTGTTGTAGGTACCAGTTCACATAGGCAACCATCTTATAGCCTTTTCTTTCCTTACAGTGTTATGAATTTCAGCCCTAGACTGTATAGATACAATTATGTAGAAACTCAGTGGAAAAGATTGAGGAAAATACTCATAACATTGCCTGCAATACTCACTTCCAGAATATATTTGAGATCCAGTATTTTTGAAATTACCAGCAATCTATTCTGTGTAACTTGTAGGCATTTTAGGAGAAGGAACTCAGACTTTAGAAACAATGAGATTTTCAAAGGATGCAGGGCATGAAACAAATTATGAATATTTAGCATTTGCTGGTATGGTTTATGCACTCAGACCCCTGTCAATGTCAGATCAATCACACTGAGTTTCTCTGGAGGCTTCCAGCAGTCAAACTTAGACATGCATCTTTTCAGAGTTCAGCTGCACGCTGCTTAGTACATGCTAGTCATCAGTATTTAAAAAAAACCAACCAGAAACCATTTTCTGTTAGTATCAGGGTATCTCTTGGGGTGGAGAAAAAAAAATGAGAGAATAGTTGTATTTATTGTAGTAGGTTTTTCTGTTGAACACATCACTGACGAGTTAGAGAATTCTTGTCATTAATACTGGAAAAAATCTTGGAGAAAACTAATATATATACTGCTTATTCAAAAGTGTGCATTCAATTTCTTTGTCCTGACATGTCACATATGTTTCATAAAGTGAAAACGATACACAGAGCACTGCTTTATTGTGGGTGATTGCAGGCAGGCATGCCATTCCTGTTACCGCAGTGTCATATGTTTTACGTCACAGTCATTTTCAGAGAAGAGCACGGCTGTCACAGCTTGCTGTATCACAGGGTTAATTCTGTGCCTCCTGGAAGCAGGACAATAATTTGTGTTTTGCTTGACATTATAGTCAGTACTCCTGATAGCAACTGTACATTAAAGAAATAAAGAAGCAGGTCTTAACTGTATATTTGCCTCTTAATTCTTCCCTGGTCTGCCCTGCTTCCAAGATGTTTCTGTGGTTTATGCTGCTGTAGGACATGATATCAAATGCTAGAATTCCCATAGCTGAGGATGGGCTACCGAGGCTGTAGCTAAACCAGCAGCGCACACGTCAGAACCTCCCGTCCCTCTTGCAACCATCAGCTGCTCATCCGCTGGCGCATCCCCCCTCCAGTTACGCCATCATAGCTGCCTGTGAGGCTCTCCTGTAAATTCACTCAAGAAACTTGTTCGAAACCAGAACTCTGTCTCTTTGGGGCTTTTGGGGGGGCCAGGCTGTTATTACTGAGCTCCCAGCAGAGCCACACAGACCATTTTGTCAGCACAGCTGAGGGCTGGTAGCTAAGAGAAGAGCAAAACCACCTTCAGACATCAGCATCTTCTGCTGTGGAATTACAGTCTGAGGTGAAGACTAAGCACGGCCCTGTTTGACAAGAAAGGCTGCACCATCAAAAAACATCAAAACCCCAAATACCTTGTACCTACGTCAGGTGCCACAATCTGCCCACTCCCAGCAGCCCAGAGATCACTGCAGGTTGTTCTGTGCAGCTTCTCAGTGTAAGATGGTTGTGCTGCTGTAGTTTGACTGCTCACAGTACGCTTAGGGGAGCGCTATGCAATGTGCCAAAGGCCATGTAGAAGGTCTACAGCACAACTAGAAATTGCAGCTACTCCTTACAAGCTCTGGGCCAAGCTTTTGAGGCTTGGGTACATTTCCAAAGAGCTATGGCTCCTTTTGGATGCATTAGGCCTGCACTTTCACAGTGATGTATAAACATGGCTAGTCAAGGTATGGGTTTGTGTTTGAAAAGAGGGAAAAGAAATGACAGCATCGGCCTGCACATTCAAAATAGTGATAAAGATCTTATTTTTCTTAGGGAGAGGAAAAAGGGCATAGTTGTCCATCTTACACACCCTGATTCTTGCTTCTGTAAACAGCATTGGTCATTAAAGTAAAACAGTTCATGTTGTATTTTAAAGATACTATGCTGTGCGAAGCAGGGAAGGTTCTGAATTATGATTCATGACTTCTTTCACAGCTGGTTTTTAAAGACTTGCCAGATAAATGGACAAATGTATGATAAGAACACATTTAATTAGCTCTGTTCCCTGAAATGATATGCAGAAATAAAGTATAGTTTCTACTGTATTCTTTTTTGTGATTCCATTAAGTGTATACTGTCTGATACAGTAACTACAAAGAAGTGAGAATTGTCCTTAAAAAGTAACAGGCTGTATAAAGGAGAATGTGACAGGGAAAGGTATTGTGTTAAAATAGTCTGTCTGACCTTAATCACACTTTTAGTCCTAATGCAAACTGTCTCCTTAAAAAAGCTTTTCTTTTGTGTGTGTTGTTTTACGATTTTCAGCTAAATATTTGCTTCAAATTACTGCATCTGAAGTTTATTTCTGGGCATATTTTTACAGTCTGTCTGACTGTCTGACCTCATGCAAAGCTTTTCCCAAGAAAATGAAAGCTGAAAGTACTGTGTTGTAGCTTTCTTCTTCAGAAGACAGAGCAGCTCACATTTCTCTGCGTCTGCTGTTTGCATATGTTTCCTTTTGTCTACAGTACCAGCCTATCTTTCTTTGTCTTCAAAATCTGTATTAGATTAGTATAAACAGTGCTACCAAAGGCTGGACACTGAGCACAAAGACAAGCCAGTCATCTTTAAACACATTTCCTGTTTTAGTTCACATACAGTTTTATTGCCATGGCTTATAAATTGTCACCTGTAATGGTGAAATAAGGCTCCATAACCTGAACTTACACTTCAGAGCCTAATCTCCGTCTCCAGCTATCCCTTAAGAAATGGTGAGCAAGTGGCCATTTATCTCTCTATTTTTTTTTCCAAGTACTCTGATACAGACTTTATATTAACTCCAGAATTACAATTTGCCTTGATGGGAAAGAGAAGAAACATGATACAAATTTGTAAATTAACTCTTGGTCTAATACCGTAAGCTTGTTTCCAGATACCAATAAACTTTATCCTGCCAGCGGGTTTTAAATTCAAAGTTTTGGTAATATATAAAACATTTACCTTTCTCAAAGCCAGCTTTGTGACACTCCATTACTGTAATTTCCATTTCCAGCTTGGCAATACCAATAAATAAAAATGAGAAAATGCTTCGGTCACCCGTCTCTCCCCTCTCTGATGCATCAAAACACAAATACTCCAACGATGATTTAACTTCCTCCAGCAGACCTAATGGCAGCAGTCTATTACCTTCCATCTCCTCCAGCAAAAAACATAAGGGTGAAATCCAGTCGCAGCCACATCCCGGAGACTTCAATGTAAGTTTATGCTTCTGTTCACAATATAAAGCCCAGCTGTATATTTTTCACTTTATATTGCAGTCCATGATAGTCTTGCAGAATGTTACGCAAAAAAATTGCAATAATGAATGTTATATTGTAAGTTCAGTTTTTCTGGTTTGGAGTTTAGCAAGGCACAGAAGAAAGACAAGAGGGCAGGCTGTAAAGCAGGCAAATACCAAAGGCTACATAAGCAAAAGGTAAAAGCTAACGGCCCAAAACAAATGGCTTTAGGCCTCCAGAGTATTGCTTGAGCATAACACAAGACCCCTACACCCAAGACTGGTGCATTGGGCTTCTACTGTATAAGGCCTCTACTCAGCCACTGCCTAACCATGAGTGTGCCTGCAGACATGTTCTCCTGCATGTCTTACAACCAACTTTCCCAGACACTGGTACTTTTGAGGCAGCTGAACAGCTTAGCACCAGCCACACAAGTCGGTTCCATCAGTATTCAGATACCTATCAGAGAGTCTTGATCACACTAAATGTGTCCAGAGCACCCTGCCAGGTAAGGCCATATTACTACACCAGCTGGTAGCCACTGCCTTCGGGGCATGGAGAGAGAGGAGCAGATGCTGCCTGACATTTATGCATGAGCTCTGTGATTAGGATGCTGGAGTAAAGAGCCTGTTAGCTCTTCCGGTTGAAGGAATTCACATCTCTCTCACCTCTCAAAATCATACCCTACCCTCCAGCCTACAGGACACTGCAGGTAGAAGATCCAAGAGGAGAATATTGTCACTTCCTCCCCTTGAAGCAGTTCTTTTTTATGTGAAATACCTAGAAGCAGTAATTTGGGCACTATCACATTGATGTCCGCTGCCGGAGTGTCTAGTCAAGCCATTGGGGCACTCTCCTCTGGCTAGAAAGACCCATGCTCCTCTCCTTGCTACAAAAGCCATTTATATATTTTATCTTCTATCTATTTGTTGTATTTATAACAACATAACAAACATAAGAGGCTTCAGAAGCCTGAGTGTTAGTGCCTAAGCAACTTTCAGGAAAACAAACTACCTGAGCTGCAGCAGTGGTCTCTTCCAGTCGTTTTTGCTGTGAGGATAACTGGCCCCACAGTATATGTTAAGTATATATGTATATACTTAAATATATTTCTTTTTTGAGAGTGGAGGGGGAAGCAGTAACTATAATCTTCATTTTGGACAATTTTTAAAAGACAAGTTACCATAAATTGGGTATTTGAAGAATATCTTATAGATAGTAAATTGAAATAAAATTAATTACGTAAAAATATTCCAGAAACAAGGCATTCTTAACATACCATAGTCAATTTTTTTTTTCTTGGATTAAATGTAAATTTTTAAACATTTTGACTTCTAAAACATAAATTTAGGGGTTAATAAACCATTCAGAATTATAATTATATGATTCTTCACTGGATATCTTGAAAACAATTTAAATTCCAGGCAAGTGTGCTGGAAATCAAATGTAAAGGGTGATTGCTTTATGATCCACACCCTTAGCAAATGCATTTCACTGAGATTTTCTGCATAGCCTAGCAATGCACCATTTGGTCAACATTTTAACAACCTTTGCAATAAAATTCTTATGTATCTGGTTATTCATCTGAAAACTTGAGCCTGACTGGATATGCCATATAGAAGATGAGAGCTCATGAACTATAAATGTTAAAGTTAGCTTTGTTTTATCCCATCTTCCCATCTGGCACCTAACTGGCATGCTGAAGTGGTCCTTTGAGTTTCTGTCAGAGACTGTAAGCCAGGGAGTGGCTTTTATCTGTTTGAGCTTTTTGTCCATTTCTCTGTTGTGTTTCCATCTGCCACCTGACAGAGAAGGAATAGTGTTTTCTATCAGTGGTTATCAACCAAAACCAACCCAGGGCTTTCTCCTTTGCACTGTACCAGTGCATGGTAGCCAACACAGGAGGTCACTCAGTGGGACAAAGGGCTCATGAGGCCCCATGAAGAACAGGGCTGCAGCTGAGGGAATGCATGGGACCCTGCCAAAAGATGTGCCTCCACTGTGGCACAGAGCAGTGATCTTTCAAGCTGATCAGGGACCTACAGCAGAAAGAAACCTGGTCCTTGGGCTACAACTTTGCACCACGCAGGCATATCAGCAGTGCAGCATGAAAAAGAGAAGGCTCAGGGGAGATCTTATAGCGGCCTTCCAATACCTGAAGGGGGCCTACAAGAAAGCTGGGGAAGGACTTTTCATAAGGACAACTAATGACAAAACAAGGGGAAATGGGTTTAAACTGAAAGAGGATAGGTTTAGATTAGATATTAGGAAGAAGTTCTTCACTGTGAGGGTGGTGAGACACTGGAACAGGTTGCCCAGAGAAGCTGTGGATGCCCCCTCCCTGGAAGTGTTTAAGGCCAGGTTGGATGAGGCTTTGAGAAACCTGGTCTAGTGGAAGGTGTCCCTGCTGATGGCAGGGGGGTTGGAACTAGATTCTCTTTAAGGTCCCTTCCAACCCAAACCATTCTATGATTCTGTGAAACAAGTGAGTCTTGCTCTCCTGAGGCAGGGTACAATGCTAGTTTGGAAGCTGAAGACTAGAGATATAACTTGATCTTCTAAATGACCACGATAGATCTATTTAACAATTTCACTTACTGTGTTTCAGAGAGTTTTGATAGTTACTAATAGTTCAGCTCAGTTTCTTCTGTATATCAGATTGAAACTCAAGCCCTTTAGAAAATGCTCTGAGCAATATCTGTGAATTTGTGGCTATCAGTGACAGGACAGTTACACATACTCCTTGCTGAACTAATAGGAAAACTAACTGCCAATTTACAACACCATGCAAAGACACTCTGTTGTTTATTAGTTGGATTTTTTTAAGTTAATAGCCAATTCCTCAATGTCTTCTCTGCTGTTTGTTGTCTAGAAAGCAATTCACGTCAATTCAGAAAATGTTCTTCTCTGCAATAAGCCCCAGTCCCAAACAGAGCTTTGGTCACCTCTGTCCAGCACACCCAGGGACTGCAGAAGGACAAAGCTTATCTTTGATGACATGTAAGTACCGATTACTTTACAGTAAAGAAAACAATGTCATTTCCTGCATTTAAAGACAGAAAAATGCAATTTTTCCAACAGGAACTGAGACATGGCCAGAAGTATTATAGTAATACTGTACATTGAGAAATGAATGAGACATACTATATAAACTCTTTAATTTTTTATCATAAATTAAGCCACTAATCATCAGGGGGCAGTGAGGACTGGTTGTTCCCTAAAGGATGGGGAGCCAGGAGCCAAGGGGCAGAACACAGCTGACAGGGCAGAGGCCATGCCAGCCGGGGGTCCAGTCCCACAGTACCCAAGGTGAGCAGGACAGGCCCCAGGGTGGCAGTCATGTTCAACCAAGAGCTCAGATCCTCAGACAAGTCCATGGTGATGAGACAGGTCCAATGTCAGGCCAGGAAGTCAGGTCAGGATTGGGTCCAGTGAGGGTCAGACACAGCCCAGTGATTGCCAGACATGCATAGTGGTGAGGCAGGTCTGAGGTCCAGCCAGGGAGACAGTCCCCAAGATCAATGGGGGCCATGTCCAGGCACAAGCTGAAGGCAGACACACTTAACCTCTTACAGTGAGTTGGACAGGGAGTGAAATTAAATGGATTTCTTTAGCCCATGGGCAGAGGGACCCACATGAGGCAAGTCAGGGCCATTAAGGTTTTATTAGTACCCTCAGGGCTCTGGCATTAATTATGCACACATCAGACTATTAATATATATAGAAGCATAGCAAGGCCAGGTGAGAAGGGAATCCTTCTTGTGCACCCTTTAGAGCAAGGGGAGAGGACATATAGGAGTCTTGCATCCCTGAGCCTTGACAGCTGCTGCTGCCATTGCTACTGCTGCTCAGAAAAAGGTATCACAAAAGCAGGGCGAGTAGGAAGCAGCAGTGGTTAGCATGAGTACCCAGAGAGATACCTGACCCGCTCCACCACCACATCCTTCAAGCGTCTCCTGCTTTCCTCCTCTGAAAATAACTTCATCTTGTAATTGTCTTTCTTTTCTGTTTGGTAAATTAAAATTGCTGGTTCGTTTCTTAAGGTCATTTAGTATGAGGTATTATTTAGGTAAGGTATAAAGGTGAAACTGAAGGTTGAAATCCTAGTATCTAGAAAATCCAGATTCTTTTTGACTGGTAATGTTCTGGCCTGAAAATATTAATTTTTTTCTGGCTAGTGTAGAAGAAGTTCTGTTCAAGCTATGCCTCACAGTGCCTGGAGCTCCGTAAGCTGTGTGACCTTTATGTGCCTTTCATACTCCCAGACTTCCACCCACAACATGTCTAAGTCTTTTATACCAAAGGAGACCCTGGGATAACAGCCCTTTTTCCTCAGAAATGGCTTTCTGCCAGGACTGGATGTTGGGTTTTTTAATATA